GTCACCGGTGTTGGCCGTGAGCGGGAACCGATCTCTGGTCGCCGGGTTCGTAGCGCAGCGTGCTAATGGCTACACGAGCGCTATACCTACACACGCACTCACGCTCGTTTGTAGAAAGGTACAGGCGCGGCCCTGCAATTTCGTGCTCACGTCACTGCCGGCAGAAGGGGTCTCCGCGAGAGGCAGCTCTCGAGGGCCGCTGTCGAGAGGGACTTTTGCTTTTTATTTGCCGATGCTGCCGCCGCCGCCGCTGCGTTGGCAGCGGTGCTCAAAGCTCAGTGAAGAAGAAAATAAAAAAGCAGTCGTCACATTCGCCGGCAACAACAACAACAACACTGCGTGGCCTGGAGAGGAGGAGGAGGAGGAGAGGAGGAAACACTTTGTGATGGTTGACGCTTCGGGGGCCCTTCTTCAGAGCGCACAGAGAGGCCGTGGGGAGGCGGTGTTCACGTCACACCGTAGGGGGGCCTGATGAGCATTTGCACAAATGTTTTCTGATGACCAGTTTTGAAATTGTTCAGATGAGTAGCTACCTTAAAGTATCGATTGAGTGTCGCCGATGAACAGAATCTTGTTAAAAGTAAAATGATAAAGCGTGGCTGGCATTGAGTCGTGGGAAGGTTTATTTGCGTGGGGTCAAGGCACAATCCACTCGGCAATGCATTCCAGGGCCCTGTTACGACAGAGGGTGTTTTGGCCTACTCTTCCACATTGGCAAGTCTTCCTGGAAGAGGAGGGAGTGCCCACACTCGACCTCACCACGCACGGCCTGCTCTGGTCGACTAGCCGTGGTGTACACATCACGACAAGGACATCGCTGGTGGTAATGTCTGGCTGGTTGGCACAAAGGTCAGAGTGCTGATTGGGAAAGTTATCAATTCAAATTCGGGTCAGGGGGTCAACTCCAACCCACCATCATTTTCATCATCATCTGTAGGGTACATCAAATGTGTTTAATTTTTTTGGAGAGACTCACCCTAACCATTCGGAATATGGAATTCCCAAGACTGGCGCAGAGTCATCAACGGAGATGAATTGGTGCCAAATTTCGATTTGCTCCCAGGAGGCACTTTGACTCTTGGCTTGACGAGCAATATAAATGGCAAGAGTAACACATTATTATTATTGTTGTTGTTGACTCATTCTTGTTGTCTCATGCCTGTCTCTCATCGCTTGCGACAAAATGCCCACAGTGTTAAATACATGCTGGAAGTAGCAGTACGGGAGTGCATGTGTGTAGCGGTTAGCGCCACGCTGCGCTACGAACCCGGCGACCCAAGTTCGATTCCCGCTCACGGCCAACACCGGCGGCGATTATCTGAACCGGTCATGGACCGCCCCTAGGTCGACTCAGCCTCAAGTGAGCACTTGGTGCGGCATGTAAATGTCGCCATTGGGGAGACAAAGGCGGCCGGGCGTGGTGCTGGCCACCCACCTCCTCGTGTGCCGTGCCAGCGTTGATAGGTGCTCGCTAACAGCACTTGTCCCAAAAGTATGTTAAGGCTACACGGGGCATCTTTGTATATAAGCAGCAGTGACTGCCAATAGTCCTTTGCTTGGATGACTCTTCGCTGTGGACACACGCTCTAGAATTACCGAGGCGTTCCTGAGACCAGGCCGCGCGTCATTATAGTGAAAACATTGAGAAACCTGAACAAACATTAATGCACACTCGCAGTCCGCTGTGTTGGACTCGTATCTGAACCGCGGGACTCCCGTTGGCACTGGAGGGGCAGCAGGATGTGTGGCGGGCCCGATGGGCCGGCCCCGGCTGCAGCCTCCACATTCGCAATCCTCCCTCCCCACCCTCCACGCCGCCCAGGGCGGCTGATTGAGCGGCGCACGGCTCAACAACATCGATATCCTGTGCCCTATCTTCTGGACCAAACCCCTCCAAAATACCAAACAACCTCAAGTAATAATAATAAAAATAAATTACAATAATAATAACAAACAAAGAAAATGCATTCTTATTTTTCCCCGGGCGGGTTTCCTGCTTGATTGTGTGTTGAGCCTCCTTCGCACCGTACGTAGCCAACCGTGCTAATTGGAGGCGTGGGGGAAGGACAACAAAATAAAACACGAAAAGCAGTTATAAGATCGAAAAGTGTTCCAGACGTCTGTAGAAGCGCATCTGAAAGCGCCGTGCCGCGCGATGCGGCGTGACCGCCGCTGCGAGGGTGACCGGAGTTCGCGTGGTGGTTGATGCTCCTTGACGAAATCGTCGAGGCGTTGCGGTTCATTTGTGGCGAGCACTCGGTGTGCATTGAGCGAGACCTCACGAGCGGCAGGTGCGAGGGCATTTGCGGACGGATCGTCAAAGCGAACAAAGAGGTAGGGGAGGAAAAAACTAAAACGGATCTTGGGAGTGAAGCCGAGTCTCGGGTGCCAGACGGTGCGGGCCCAGCGACTGGGGCGTGCGCCCGGCCGTGGGCTTTGGTGCGGCATTAGAATAATCAGCTGCCAAGCCCCAAAGGGAGGTCGCTATTGCAATCGAGACCAAAAGTGTAAGAAAAAAAAGGTTAAAAAAAATCTGCTCATCTCCGCTTTCCTAGAAGCTTTCTGCGCAGCCAACCTTTTCCGCCGACTCCCAGAAGGAAAGAGAAAAAATATATAAATTATCGCCGTCGTGAAACCGACATTCCCTCTTCCCTTGGACTCAGGGGAGCGCCGCGCGTCGTCGATTTCACGCTCGCGACGCTTCGGGGCTCGCAAGATTGGTGCCTTTACCACGTCGCCGGAGCAAATATCGGAACCTATTTTATATCATTTTGTTATCGTCACGACCACCGTACGTGTATTTTATCGTAAAGCGTGTCGCTGCACAGCTGCTGATGAACGCTGGGTCTGTTTTTGTATTTCAAGTGGACTTGGCAGTCAGGGGCACTTGTGCATGTGAGGTGTGCCAATGGTGTTTTTTTTTACACACTTTTGTTCGGTTCATCAGCATGCCCCCGCGAGTGTGCGTGCCTCTGCGCGTGCGTGTGCATGCGTGCGTGAGCAAATGTGTGGGTGCGTGCGCTTCTGCCAGTCGTCTCGGCCCGTTAACCCATAACACTCGAGGTTGTTCCGTGACCTACCAGCGAGAGAGTGCACCTAGCCTGGCACAAACGCTGTTGGGTCATAACCATCACTTGGCGGTGAATGCCGGCTGTTGTTGTGTGTGTGCGTGCGTGTGGTGAGCGGCGGCACGCTAGTTACTGCGCGCCCGCGCTATGAACCCGGCAAACTTGGTGTGATTCCCAGCCATGAATAACACAAAGTAGTGGCTGGTGTCAGATACTCATCCTGAGTCTAGTCGGCCCTCAACGAGTACCTGGTGCGGTGTGCGGATCCTAGCCTACAAATGTCTGGCAGTCCACCAGCGTTGGTTCAAGCAAGCCTCACTGCTCGGGGGAGACGCGGGATGTCACAACCGGTCTTGGGGTTTGCTTGTGTCCATCGGATGCTGGTGAAATGATAGGCTCCCAGAAGGGTCGTGTGTTTGACAGGATGTGTAGAGAAACACTTTTATGTTTCACGTGAAGGCGGCAGTATTTGTCCACTTATTCCTTTTGTAACACCCCATGCTTGTGTGCCGCGGTGGCTAGGAGATGTTAACTACCTCGTCGGGTGTACAGGAGGTCATGGGTTCGATCCCCACCCTGACACCTGCTGCTGCTGTGTATTTGGAGTTTGCATGTTCTCTCCGTGGTCACGTGGATTTTTCTCCGTTTTTTTCCTCCACGTTTTATAAACATGCGTTTAGAATTCAGAGTATTTGGCTGCTATACATTTCCACATGATAAGCCACTTCGTAAAGCTATCATCTGTGGTAGCCAGGTCGCTTCTGGACAAGCGCTACATAGCTCAGTGGGCCTTACCTGGTAAAATAGAAAATAGTTTAGTTTTAGTTTGAATAGTTCTCAAGTAAATGCTCACAGGCAGGGTTTGCCCATACTGTCTCTACGACTACACTGGTATCTTTGTTTTCAGTTATCTGCAGAGGAAAATGAAGTAATTGACAGGAAGGCGGTTGTGGTCTTTATCTTCCAATGGCAATTGTGCAAACAAAAGTGAGAAAAGGAAAACAGCAGAGTTGTGTTTTCTTTTTATGTGGGCTGCTATGGTGCCCGGACACAGAGAGTGTGAGAGAGAGAGAGAGAGACCTGCTCCTATTGAGAATAAATCTGTCACACATTCTTGAAAGTCCACTTCACAGCACACTGAGTGCTCTGGTAAATTCCTGCGTGTGAGGCGCTATTAAAGCGGCTATCAAAACAGGCGCTCTTTAAGGTTCACACACGCTGCAGCGCCCTTGCTGACGGCACCGTGCCGTGAGAAATCTCCATCGGGAACTCGCCCAGAAATCGGCATTTACATCAACTCCAGCGGAGTTCCTCAGGAACCGTCGGCGGCTTGTGCTCGACGCGCATGCCTGTTCTGTGTTGTTGTTGTTGTGGTTGTTGTTGTTGTTGTTGTCGCGCGCGGGCGCTCTGGAAGATGACATCGCGGAGTGCGGCGGGTATATCGAGCGGCGAAACCGCTTCACGCGCGCGTCCCAGGTGAACCGTCCGCACCGCACGGCCGTGAGGGACTGCGGCGGTTGGCGGTGGCCTTCGTCCGGCAGTCGGACCGATTACGGACGACGGCCGTCGCTCACCGTGCTGCCACGGTGCGCCGGTCCGCGCACTTGACTTGCGGTGCACAGGCCCCACCGGGTTCGATATCCCCGCGTTGCAGACGAAGCAACGGTGCCGGCTTCCTGAGCTCCCCCCCCATGTGTGCCGACGCCGATCGGCCGGTCACGTGCGGCGGGCTAAGTGCCGGTAACTCCCAGCCGCTTCCAAGACGTCCTGTCCGGCGCGAAATAATTGGCCCAAAACAACGCATGGGAGAGAGAGTAGGTGCTCTCTGGAACTCCTTCTGGTTGTAGGCGCCTTGCGCCGGCAGTGGGCTGAGCGGGAAATTGCGGGGACGCGCCTTGACCCCTGTCTCGCGCGGGCGTGTGTGTCGCACAGGTGTCTCTGTCCTCGGAGTGCGTCCGAGCCCTCACCAAGATGTGGTTCTGCCCCTACTGCCGCGGGGCGCCGCAGCTCAAGCCCTGCCGCAACTACTGCCTCAACGTCATGAAGGGCTGCCTCGCCAACCAGGCCGACCTCAACGTCGAGTGGAACAACTTCATCGGTGGGTTGGCTCTGCGTACGCCCGCCTGCTCGCCCGCTCGCTCGCTCGCTCACTCGCTCACGCACACTCACCCTCTCCCTTGCCCACCCCACTCACATGCTGGCCCACTCTCTCACCCGTTGAGTGTCTCCCTCGATTATTAAAGTTGCACCTTCTCTCTGTCGCTCACCCCACTTCTTTACTCGCTCGCCCACCCCCTCGCCCACTCACCCACCCACCCCCTCACCCCCTCGCCCACTCTCTCTGTCTCCCTCTCCTGCTCACTCATCCTCGACACGGCGGATGCCTGGTCTGGACCCAGGAGAGGGTGCGTGAGGGCCCTTTAAAGAAGAAATATAGGTCGCAAATTCTTCAGTGGCTTTTCTTTGCACATCTCTTAGAATAATATTCTTTACGCTTGATGTTATTTCAAATAACCCCTGAGCGAGGGAGAAAGAAAAACAACATTCAGAAGAGCGGTATAAAAAATAAATCCCTGTTTATTATGTGCTGACATATGTGCACATGCTTTTATAGTGTGTCTGTTTAACAATCACAGAAAAGACCACTCACAGCGGACTGCTGCTGTCTGGAATGTTGTCGTTTGTATTGATTTTGAAATCCTATTGCTTTTCTTTTTACAAAATGCCTTTCAGCGTGGAGTTTTTTTTTAAACAGAGTTGCATTCTGGTGACAGGAGCAGAATTTTAATTATTTCCTAAGCGCTGGAAGAGCGAGTGAGCGAACATTGTCGCACCAAGACGCTCGCGCCGCACGCACCGCTGCCGTGCTGCCCGCGTTGCGTTCGTTGAGTGGAGTAGCAAAGCGCAGCGGAAGTGTTCAGAAGGGCAGCATCGCAAACAAATACAAATGCGGAGTGTTTCAAATAAATGTGAACACTTCCGAGAATTTGCAACAATACCACAAGAAACGTCCCTGCAGGCAATGGAGACCACCTGGAGTAGATGCCAGGCACGTGTTGACATTCAAGGCGAACGAGTGGACACCCTTTGACTTTTTGAAGATATTAACATACATTGGTTATCACGTTACCGTGTAGTATTATCCGTTCTTTTCCCATTAAAAACGATAGTCCCATATAAGTGTTAACATTTTTTAAGCACCCTGAAAATTCTCCCGCGGCGTGGTGAACGTGCCGCTGATGCAGAGCCAGGCGACTCGCTGCCCTGGGTAGGAGGACGGATCGAGGTCAGAGCTCTTCCCTAGTCCATCACCTCTGAGATCGATCGATTTAGTACCGAGTTCCCTTATCGGCCATCTCCTCTAGTCCATCGTCTCTCTCTCTCTGAGATCGATCGATTTAGCACCGACTTGTCTTTGGGCTAGTGACGTTTGTGCCGATTCATCGATTATATGCCGAGTCTTTGATCTCGCAGTACACACTTCGAATCGTATTAAGAGTCGATGTGTTGTTCTAGTGCGATCTTGACAATGTGCGGTAGCATCCTCTCGTCAACCCATTGCTGAGTGATGGCCTCCTCCCTATGCCGTGTTTGATCATGGGGGATGTTTGACCATACTTCACCACGCTGGGCAGTGTAAGGTTGATGACGAGTAGGGCCCAGGACCAGGTCAGAGATCATTGCTCCGTGGGGCAGGGAATCAAATTCGGGTCCCAGGGTTCACAACGCAGCGTGCTAATCGCCGTGCCACCGCTCCTCCCGCGTAGATGAGTACATGCCGTATAGAATGGGTTTACATGAGCAGCGGCGATCGGCCGTTACGTTCACCGCAGTGTAAATAATCACCGTGATCTTGAAATCGAATCAAGAGGCTGACTAGTGACATTGTTTTCAAATTTCCGGTGGTCGTCCCACGGAAATGTTTGCCACCATTACAGTGCAGTACAGTCCAGGTGTGTCCTTCGATTTACGAAAGGGATGGGTTCCTCAAATAGACGCTTAAAACAGCATGCGTCCCCTCAAGATCTCGAACATCTGGGGATGATGCAGATCTTCTCTGCATTCCCAGTTCGAGGCTTTGGTCTATGGGTCACCGAGATTTTTCCCCATGTAGCCCAAGGCTACGAAACGCTCTTCCATGAGATATCAGGAACTCTGTGGACATTTAAAACATGTGTCTTAAAACCGATTTATACGCTTCCGCCTATTAAACTTTTAGGTAAATTAGTAAATGGATTATAATGTAATTATGTTTATGCTGAGCGTCTGCTGTGTCCTGTGCAGCACTTTGAGATCCTTGATGAAAAGCACTAAATAAATTATTATAATTTCGTAAATCGGAATAGATTTTCCCACGAATCCTAAACATTAGGGATGCGTTTCGGACAGTCATTCCAACTCTACCGCCGACCGAAAAATATACACCACCTATATCACTTAACGCAGTACAAAAATAATCGTTAAAAAATATAGATATTCAAACTACTGAATTATATAAATTATGAATGAAATATGGCGCAAGATAATTGAAATAGTATGTTTCGGCATTTAACGCTGGACCGGGGTTTTTCCGTAACAGCGCCTCCGAATGTTGCCTGGCATGTTGATGGCAGGGAATGTGGTGGCGCCGCAGTGGTGGCGGTGGTGGTGCCGGTGGTGAGAATTATTGTCGGTCCTGGGCAGGAGGTGAGCTGTGTTGGGTAAGGGTCAATCGTGCAACGATGACGTTGAGGGAGCTGCGGCGAGCTTAGACGTAATCCTCATGGACAGCAGCCCAGAGGCGTCTTATAACAATGCAGATGCACGCACGTGAATATTCGAACAAAACAAAGGCCAAGGTCCCCCACGCAGCCTCGACAATCTATTTTGGGGCAAGTGCTGTTGCCGAAGACCTAACGAAGGCCGGCACAGCGCTCGAAGGGTTGGCGCGGACAGCACCAATCAAACTGGGCCCGCCGTGGTGCGCTAACCACCATGCCACCACTCCTCCCCACGTACAAAGATCCCCGGTGTAGGCTTCATAGACTTTTGAGGCAAGTGCTGTTAGCGAGTTGCACTTAAGAAGGCCGGGCGCGGGTACACGAGGGGTGTGGGTGGCCAGCACTACGCGCGGGTGCCTTAACGCTCGCACGCAACACGCACGTATTGTTCACAGCTCCTCGCACACATTTTCAGAGGCGCTACACAAACTGGACGCAATGCGCGAGCAGACATGAGGAACACTGCATATCCGCGTCATTGGCCGGGAAAAAATAACTCTTCTGTGCGGCTCACATTGCCGGGGCGTCTCAGTGTGAGCTCCGTGACTCATCATCATCATCATCATCCCGCCCCGGAGCGACGCAGTGCACTTGGGGATTTTTGCAATTTTTACGCCGCTGTTATGAAAATTATTTGTTGAATGTTTTCGCTTCTCTCTGTCCCAGGCCTTGTGTCTCCGACATCACGCGCTCTCGATTTAGGGGGGGGGGGGGAGGATGCATGATACATTCCGTTTGCCTTGACTCTCTTCATTCGGCAGTAAAAGTATTGTTCATTATTGTAGCGTATATTGTATTCACACACATGAAGAAAAAAAAAACACCCCAAAACCGATAATTGCTCTCTGCTCCAGCCACAGAACCATATGCGTGCATGGTTGTAAAGATAGCGCTCATTATTTTAAATATAACACTCATTCAAGATAGTCCTTATCATAATTGCTCAGGGTTTGTACAAGAACGCATGTGTGAGTGTGTTTCTATGTTTGGGGAGCAGTTACCACGCTCTGCTACGAACCCGGTTCCCCGAGTTCCATTCCCGCTCACGGCGGCCAACAGCAGTGACGATTATCTGAGCTGGTCGTGGACCTCCGCTAGGTTGACTCAGCCGCAAATGAGTACCTGCCAATAGGGCCAACGTGTACACGTCGCAAACGTCCCTTCCACCAACAGTCTGTTAAGGTTGTACTAAAAACAAAACTGAGTGAGCTTTGCGTGCTCTTTGCATGCTCTTTGTCGGCTTTAGTATCACACTGCACAAGAGGCAAATTGCTTGGTTCACCGATGATGTGGGTGTCATTTATGTGGAGCATGTTTATGACGAGACTTTGGAGCGACGCAGGACTTTCGGCCAGACCCCTGCCCCGCGAGTGAAAGTTTTCAGGATCCAACATTTGGACATTGGTGGCTTTCGTGTTTTTCCCCAGTCGTAAAGTACAGTGTGAACTCTGTCCACGTGACCCGGTGGGAGATGATCTCGAACAAAGAGGACGAGAAGAAGCCTCGAGGCTTGGTGTGAGCCTGGAGAGAGAGGCACAAAGATGTGACTGGGCCCCATCATCTCTCATAGAAGATATTCTTAGGTTTTTTCGGTAAAGTCACGTAGGTAAAAATAAAATAAAAAAAAGTAAAATAAAAAAATAGAAGATGTGGCAACGAGTCACTGAACAAAGACGGTCACCGCATCGCGCGCTTCTGCGGCCGTCTGGAACGCTCTTCCTTCCGATATTAGGAAGCCACTGGAGCTATGCACTTTTAATTATAAATTGAAAACTCTTTTCTTTACACCTGCTTTTAGTGTTTAGTTAATTCTCCTTCCCTCGCACCTATTAGTCGTGAGCGGAACTCGGGTCGCCGGGTTTGTAGCGCAGTGTGCTAACAGCTACACTGCCACTTCCCCCGCTCCAACAAAGATAAAGATCCCCCATATAGCCTTAACAGCCTGTTGGGGCAAGTGCTGTTAGCGAGCACCTATGAAGGCCGGGCACGGCTCACGAGGGGGTGGGCCGTGAACACCACGCCTGGCCGCCTTTGTCTCCCCAGTGGCGATGTTTACACACCGCACCAGGTACTCATTTGAGGCCGAGTCGACCTAGGGGAGGCCCAGGACCGGTTCAGATAATCGTAACTGCCGTTGGCCGTGAGCGGGACTCAAACTCAGGTGGACGGGTTCGTAGCGCAAGTGAGCTGACCGCTACACTCTCCCGCCGCCCCTTGCTGTAACGCGCTGTAACGCACAGGCACGCACACACACACCTCACGAGAACACGATGCTTTGTTAAAATTAATGAGCTAAGCTGAGATTTGTTAACACATGAACGGCCCGATGGGTCTTACG